ATATCATAGTTCATCTCAAGCAAGCTGCAATTGAATTCGAGCCCATCAATTCATAAGGTTTCAATCCATTCCAAGCACATCAACACACTCCTTGAGGTCCAAGGAAGCTTTTGTAACACCTACAATTGAGGATTTGAATTCCTCTTGCAAGGTAAGCCTGAACTTTTCAAACCCCATGAATCATGAATCATAAATGTTATTTCAAGTTACCAACATGTTTCTTGATGCTCGTAGATTATTAACCATCAATCAACTGCTACTTATAACTCGTGTATGGGATTTCACATTAGTTTTTGCAAAGTTAAAGTTCATTTGTTCATCACATGATAATTCACTCCACACTTAAAATTAATAAAATTAAATGGTACCATCGTGTTCCTTGTTCAAAAGCGAGTAGTTTTCATGTTTACATCGTGCAATTTATTAAAATTTGAGTGAGATAGGAGAGATTTTGCAAATTTGGGTGGCACGAGGAAGAAGAGGTTTTGCAAATCTTTTAATTTTTATTTGTTTTAAATATTTTAAACTATTTTCTTTTCTTGATTTTTCTTAAACTAATTTGATTTCAAATATTCATGTGAATAAAACATCTTTTTATAAACCTTAATTATGGTTCATAACATGGTTAATGGATTCATTTTGATAATTATATCATTTTTTATTGATTTTTCCTTTGAAAAATATTTTAAAAATAAAATTAGGGTTTTTCTTCTTAATTCAACCTTTTCAAAAATTCATTTTCATATACTTGGACTTCTATTAGAGTGTATGACCCAACCCTCCCTGTAAATAAACCAATTCTTTGGGCCTATACTACAGTATAAGTCCCATTGCGTTTTTCAAAATCAGCGTGCGATCACTGTTTTCACAATAAATCATGGGTCTCTAATAGAGTGTAAGTCTCATCTCTTTGTATATAAATAAACATTTTAGGATCTTTACTATAGTATAAGTTCCTCCTCTCAGTTTTCAAAATAACTGTGATTTTTTTCCAAATAATCTGGGCATCTCGCTGAGTATAAGCCCCAACATTCTTTTTTCAAACTTAATAAATTAGAGTCTTTACTATAGTATAAGCTGCTCTTATCTTTTTCAATCAATTACCATCATTTGAGCCTCTGCTAGAAGTGTAAGTCTCATCCCTCTTTATATTTTCAAAATCTCCTTCATATTTTTAAAACTTCAACCATTCAATCTTCCAAATTCAATCTAAACCTAGCCTTAATTTTCCCAATCAAAATTTGGGTCTCTTCATGAGTATAAGACCCAACACCTTTTTGTAAATAAAAATTCTTTTAGCCTCACTCATCCCGGTATTTGTACAGGATACAAACAATCATCTTGGCCTCTATTTAGAGTGTAAAACCCAACACCTTTGCTCCTATCCTACTTAAGATCAATTCATATTCAAATTCAATTTCAAAATCATTTCAAAATTTTCTTCAATTTCTCAAAACCTTAACTCAATCTCAAAGAAAATATTTAATCAATTACAATACACTTGAGCCTCTATCCAGAGTGTAAGACCCACCATATTTTCAAATTCAATTTATACTTTTTTATAAACTTGTTCATATATCTGTATATATACTTGTGCATATCTTGTTAAGTTACCCTTAGCATTTAACTCATCCTTGGTTTAGACTAGTTCAAATAATAGGATCCTTTCAAGCTTTATAACTTAGTTCAAACAATTAGTTCCCTCTTGTACAAATGAATTCTTCTCCCCAGTACAGTCAGCCTCCTCTTGGGCTTTGTTCAATTTACTTAACCTTGAAACACTCATAAAAGAGAGGATCATTTCTTGGTGAAACCTCTTCTATAAACCCATTTAACCCTGGAACAGTTCAACAAAGAAAGGATTATTTCCCAGTGAAACCTTTCTTGAACTCTTCTTAGACTTGGAAATTTTCAATCCCCAACCTTCTCTTGGGCTTCATAGAAGGACCCACAGGCTTCCTAAAAGCATATAATAGATCCTAGTCAACTTTATCAATACACAAAATCCCAGGAGAGTTAAAACCTTTAGAACATTCAATATCATCCTTTAAGCCTTTTCTAATCCTCAACAAAGGTTGACTTTCACTTAACAATCCCCAGCCAGGGTCAACTTACAATCAACAAATCTCTAGAAGAATTAAAGCCCTTGTGGCATTTAAATTCTCTGTTAATCTTCAGCAAGAGTCAGCCTTCTCTTAGGATTCATATAATAATTTCCCCAGTCAGCCTCAATCTTGGGATTTGTACAAGACAAATATAACACTCCCCAATTGAGTCAATTTTCATCTTTTTAGCTTCAACCCTTGGCTTTGGTCAAAGCATAAAATTCAACACCCCCACAAATGAGACTATGAGTCCTCTTTGTAGGAGGATATCCCTTATATACATCACATTTCAAATCAAATGAAAACACTTGAATTAAACTATTCTACATACAGGAGGATGTGACATTGCTCTAGATATTTCAAAGTCCAAGTTAAAAGCTTCTTCCCTTATGTCAAAACTCGTGAAGGAGGATGCGATATGCTCTGAATATTTCAAATTCCAAGTTAAAAGCTTCTTCCCTTATGTAAATACTCATGAAGAAAGAGGTGACCTTGCTCTGGATATTTCAAAGTCCAAGTTCAAAGCTTCTTCCTTCATGACACTTCACTTATCCTATAAAGGAAGATGTGGCATTGCTGGATTCCACACATCCAGTTAAAACAACTTCCCTCATAATCATTTCTTCAATGTTTGTGATGAGTATGTGAGATATCTCCCTTTAGAGATGATAAATTCTCTCTCAGTCAAGCTTTTAGCTTCAATCTTGGGCTTTGAACAAGACACAAATACTCTTTTAGTTTCAATCTTGGGTTTTGAACAAGACACAAATACTCTTTTAGCTTCAATCTTGGGCTTTGAACAAGACACAAAACAATTTCCTCCTATAGATTTAGGAGGATCTATGAACGCTCTGATTTTCCAATTTCCTTTTTGAGAATACGTAGGCATATGATTACGAAATCTTAGTGAGCACACTAATAAAAATAAAAACCTTTAGGTCTAGGTGCTTATAAAAAACAATAGAAAACCATAAAACAACAAAAACATTTCCTCAATCCTCACAAAGGAGAAACTTTCCTATTCAAATAGAAAAACAAACCTAAGCAAGTAAGTAATTCAACCGTAGAAATATACAATAAAGGTTTCTATAGAGTACTATAAATACTCAGAGTGTTAATAGCTTTCCTTAGTATAACCAACCCCCGATTCCAGATCTCGTAGCATTTGTAAGAAAAACATCTGCGAACAGGGTTAGTTTGAGATATCTTCCTCTTCCTTTTAAGCATCATAGGATAAATATTAGAAATCAGAAAGTGGTCGTGTCAATTAAATCGGAGCTACACGTTGACGGTGAAGTTGCCTGGACAATGCATTCGAGGACAAGCGATCAATATCTATTCAAGGCGGACCAATATTTATTTAATGTAATTGTAAATTTATTGCCTAGTTGTAATTATTGGTATTATTATTGAATGCAAATTATATATATATATATATGTGTGTGTGTGTGTGTGCGCGCGTGTGTGTGTGTATGTGTGAGAGAGAGAGAGAGAGAGCATGCTTAAACAATTTAGGGGTGATGTCGGAAACGCTTTGTATGTCAAACTACAACAACTAATTCCCTTAGGGTGTTGTCGGAAGCACTTTACACATCGAACTACAATAACCAATTTCCTATAGTAAAAGGTTACACGAATTTCTCCGTAGATGACACACACTCTCCCCTTTCAGATCTAGCTCATTTAAGGGGCGTGAACGGTGGAGCTCAAAGACGTTCACCTCAATCCGAAGTTTACTTTGGGTGCAGGGATGAAGAGCCTCTATCCTTGGTCGGGAAATGATCCTTTATGACGCGTAGCAGTTCAAAGCATAGTCATATACAGTCGGTCTCATGTCTCCTCAATAAGGATACAATTCCAAACATAATTGCATATAAACGGTCTTATGCATCACAATTACGACTTCAACCTATGGTTGAGTCAAATTGGATCAAAATTTCAATGTTATAAGCAAAATTTGAAGCTCGGCAACGTCAAACTGAACCGATACTCTATCACTGTAAGCACATTTCATTATGGTTGCATCTAGTCAGAACAACATCTTATCAAAAAGATGTGTACCAATTAAAAACAATGCACTTATTTCTAAAATATTTGATCAAAACTCATAGAAGACAAAGCAACTTCAAAAATGAGTTTTTATTTAACAAGTTAATATAATAAAATCACAACTAAATGTTAAGATAAAGTGAAAGGATGGCATGAAAAATTTTCTAAACCATTTCCTATTTAATAAAATATCTAGTCTATATACTTTGTTATTTTAAAGGTTTAATTTTTTTTTCTTCTGTAAGTTAATATTGAAGTTCATTTTCATATTCGTTCCTTAATTTTTCAAATTCTTTTATATGAGTTATTTTTATCAAATTAACAATAGAAAAATTTAAAAATTAATTGTTAAATTCATCATTAATTAAATAAATTAACATGATACTATTACATTTTAAAGAGTTAATAGATTTTTTAAATTAAAAGACAAAAATATTAAGACTATTTTAAAAGTAATTAATTACTATACGTTATTAGTGTAAAAAAGTCAATTCAAGATCATTATTTATTTAGAAGTGATTAAAATAAAAGTCAAATTCTTCTAAACATACCATCTACAAAGTCTACAATTAACTAATTAGCTGTATAAAATTCCTTTACACTACTACTATATTTCAATTAATTTCATTTTAAAATACTCAATTTTATATTTTAAAAAATATTTTTTAAATATATGGATCTACCTCTCTTTTATTCAAACCATTTTATACTAATTTCCTTTCACGTGATGAATCTGGTCATATTATCATAACTATTCCACCTCTTTACGTTTAAAAGGTTAATTTGTTTCTTTCATTTATTCAAGAAAAAGAAAAAAAAGAAAAAAAAAAACAGTGTCGTTCATTCATGCCAATTAAGTTCATCATGTCCACCGCAACTCCACTACTCAAACCGCGCCACGTGGCCGTAATCGGTGCCGGCGCCGGAGGTCTAGTTGCGGCGCGCGAGCTTCGACGAGAAGGACACCAGGTAGTAGTTTTCGAGCGAGGAGACCAACTGGGTGGGTCATGGGTTTACACAGCGGAGGTTGAATCGGACCCAATTGGTTTGGACCCGAAGCGGAGGATAGTTCACTCGAGCCTTTACAATTCGCTCCGAACCAATCTGCCTCGAGAAAGCATGGGTTTCCGAGATTACCCTTTTAGAAGAAAAGAAGGGAAAGAGAGGGATTCTAGAAGGTTCCCGAATCACAGAGAAGTTTTAAAGTACTTACAGGATTTTGCTGTTGATTTTGAGATTAATGATTCGGTGAGACTTCAGACGGAAGTGGTGTTCGCTGGGGTGGATGAAGATGGAAAATGGACGGTCAGATCTAGATCAACTGATAGTGACTGTGTGGATGAGATTTACGATGCTGTAGTTGTTTGCAATGGACATTACTTTCAACCTCGACTTCCTCATATTCCTGGTTATTTTCAATTTTCTCCCCTCTCTTTCTTATTTATATTATTATCTAGAATTATCCCACGTAATAAATATTTATTTCGTATTTTTAAAAATACTTACGAAATTTTTATTTAAAAAATTATTTATTTTGTACAAATTTTAAATTTAAGGAGAAAAGAATTTTCAGGCATTAGTTCATGGCCAGGGAAGCAAATGCATAGCCATAATTACAGAACACCAGAGCCTTTTCAAGATCAAGTAGGTGTTATGTTATATGGCTAGTTCTATTGATATATCATATACTAGTTCCTTTATGATTTTTTTGTGTAAAATAAAATTAAAAAAATAAATATCAACATATTCAAATGATTATTCTAAGGAATGACATTCATTTTTTCCTTTATGTTTTTCACTCATTTGTTGTGTTGTGTAGGTTGTAGTTTTGATAGGCGGTGCAGCTAGTGCAGTCGACATCTCTCGGGACGTGGCAACTGTTGCTAAAGAAGTTCATGTTGCAGCTAGATCGGTTGAAGAAGATAAGCTTGGAAAGTTACCTGGCCATGATAATATATGGCTTCATTCTATGGTAAAACTTGTCATCTATGGTGAGAATTAGATGGTCATCATGACATTAACATTCACAAATTTGTTTCATAACTGTCACTTGGATTGTTTAATCTTGATCTTAAACAATGCAGATTGACAGCGTTCATGAAGATGGTACAGTTGTTTTCTTAGATGGAAATGCAGTTATTGCCGACTTCATTGTACATTGCACTGGGTATTCTCTTCTCAGCATATTCTATCATTTTTTTAAACCAGTTTTATCTAGGATCATAGTTTTAAATTGCAAATGCAGCTGCAATACAAAAAGATTTGAGGGAACTGCATTTTTCAATTATGTCAAAATTGTAATGTTATATGCTTATAGCAATACGAACATGGCTGCATTTTAAAACCTTGTCGAGGACTCCAATTTATTGTCATGAATAATATGGTAATGAATTTAATATTGATGTCTATTTGTTACTTTTTCAGGTACAAGTATGAATTTCCTTTCCTTGAAACAAACGGTGTAGTGACCGTAGATGACAACCGTGTAGGACCACTCTACAAGCATGTTTTTCCACCGGTGTTGGCTCCATGGCTTTCATTCGTTGGTTTGCCTTGGAAGGTTGTTCTTTGTCAGGGTTCTTCATCATCATTGCCTCAAAATCAACTTGAATATGTTTGATTCTTTGGTGTCGCATTAACACGTTCATGGAATTGATGACAGGTTGCTCCCTTCCCCTTGTTTGAACTGCAGAGCAAGTGGATAGCTGGAGTTTTATCGAATCGCATTACTCTTCCTTCAGAAGAGGAGATGGTGAAAGATATTGAAGATTTCTACATGTCACTCGAAGCATCTGGTACTCCTAAGAGTCACACTCATAATATGGGCAAGAACTTTGCTCAGGTGCCTTACTACTTTGCTGTTTTATAAACTTTTTGTTAGTTTATTTCTTCTTGTATGGTATATGTGTATCTAATTCTTGTACTGGTTTTTTAAACTTTGACTTTGTTTCTAAAATGCATCTAAGCATGAAACATTGCAAGATGTAATTAGTTATACTTTAATGGAAATTGATATCTTTGTGAATGTGTAATATTGCAGTGGGACTACAATAACTGGATTGCTGATCAGTGTGGTGTTCCTGCTATGGAAGAATGGAGAAAGCAAATGTATATCGCTACATCTAAGAATAGGCTCATGCGACCTGAGACTTATCGTGACGAGTGGGACGATGATGACTTGGTTCTACAAGCTGAACATGAATTTGCTAATTATGTGATCTAATGTTATATTGTTTTAAGATTTACCAAGTTACAAGTTATTCATGTGCTCTGCTCCTAGTTCGTTGTTATTCTTATCGGTCAAATATCAGTTTTACGGTGCCAGTTTGAAGAAGAAAGTTTCACAGCAAAAAATAAGGAAGCAATTATATATGTTCCTATCCTTTCATTATAGAACAAGTGATAATAATGTGATAATTTTTTATTGGACTTTTTAATGTTCTTCTCTACAATAATAATTGAAGACGATAAACATAACCAGGCTGTGAAATTGTTTATTATCAATGAATATTAAGTGATTAAATGCTCAAGCAAAAGCTAATGTACCTATGTTATCAATGGCAATAAACCGTGTAGCAAATTTGGAACAGCTTTGGCGTCAAGATTTGGTTTGGAACATTGAATTGTAAATCTCCATGCATAACCAGCATAATAATTGAGCAAAGAAACTTTGGTCTATGACATCACCATAGAATACAACGTAAGGTATCAAAGAATAGACTTAATATGCAATATCGGTTAATGAAGTTCTAGTTTTGCCCATGACATAAGTATTATTCTACATCCATGCAACCCATATCCACACATTAAAGACTTGATAAATAGTAAAGTTTCCTAAACACTGTCCTTGATACAGCTCTTTTCGAATTATATGACCTCGTACATATGGCCCGGGTGCAAGGTGTTTTGCTTCTATTTCAAGCTCGGGAAAAAATGAAACAATTGTTTGTATTATCCTCTACCCAAAGTTGGCTGATGCTGTTAAAACTAATATAACAATTAAATCTACATCCTGCTGCAAATCATGGAAGCTTGATTTAAAGATTTGCATCCTGCAGTCAAAAAAATAAACGGCGTCAGGCTGTATCTTAATAAAATTCAACAGGTGAAAACAAAAAATTGGAATCAATTCTCTATCCAGAAACAGAAATGAATTTTTCTTCTATAACTAAACTTAGTTTTGTCTTGCAGCTCAGCCCTGAAATTTGTCATGTAATATTTTGTAAGGAAACCAGCAGGATTGAGAACCAACCGACCAAACAATTTGAACAGTTTAATTAAGTATATGAAACCTTACCACTATTTTTCCTCAGAGTCCTTTTTAGATTCATTAGGCTGCTCTTTATTCTTTTTTGCGCTCGATTTCCTTCCACCTTTCCTCGTTGGTCTTGGTCCTTCTATGAGAAGATGATTATATTTTTCCAGTATCCTCTCTTTCTCTTCAACCAAGCCTAACATATCATAAGCATTTGCCACTTTCTTAATGATTAATTTGTCCCGAGGTTTACGATCAAAAGCTTCCAGTCCCTTGAAAAGCTTTCAATCAAAAGCACAAGACATGAAATAAAGGTTAATTGTGAGTTAATGAACCAAAACTATATATAGCCATCAAACAAAGAGAGTAATGATGTTAGATAAACACTGCATATAGTATGACAACAATATGCAAGTCCACATCAACTGAGGTAAACAAATAGTTTTGATTTGTCTCTCCAATAGAAATACAAAAGAGCTGAGTAAAATATTTGATCATGTTCTTTTATATACAATTAATAACAAAAAATCATTAATGCAAAACAATTATTTTGTTATCCTCTAACATTGATCGTATTCAACATAGCAATTATGGCCAGAATCCATTGATTCTGTCACAGCTATTCTACTTCTCAACTGCTGCAATTTCATTTTAGTCAAGATTTTGTAAATATGAAATATGAGAAAAGAGCAATATCTTTGTAAAGGTTACCAGTAACTAAGTTTGAAGGGGCACTACAATATCTTTTGCACTAGTTGAGCTCTATTCAACTACGTTTCTAGATTTACTTTTTAACATGAATCATTTCAACAAATGACGAGCATCCATGATGCGAAACCGGATTGGAGTAGCAAAAATTAGAAGAAAAACAGATCAATAATGGAAATAAAAGAGTGCATTATTTATGAATGTTAATGATAACTACAAAAGGAGGATGAATATCCTAACGTCCACAAAGCCAAGCTCCGACAGAGAATAATATTCTGTCCATAACTAACAAACTGACTCCCACTACATTGTTTAACTTTTCTCTCACCCTCTACTATATGGACAATCCCAACACACCCACTTTGCTATTTCCCATTCATTCTAGTTCTAGCACAAACCCGTTGAAAACTGCGATGGGAAGTTGCAGCTGTGTAACAGCCCATTTGGTTCTTATTTCACATAAGAGGTTCTAATTTCTAACAATCTATCGTTCTTTTTCTAATGAAAGAGATTTGTCTCATGAACCAATCAATTTAGTATAGTAGAACAACCAAAAGAAACTAACAATATTATGCAACAAAAAATAACCAGGCTCTATTCTACTAAATAAGGTCAGCAATCAGCCACGTGAATTAATCACACCATTGGAATGGGAATCTATTAAAATAAAATAAAAACTGTATTCCACTATTTGGGAAAGCTTACCCTAACAAGTTCATCCAGCATATTGTTTCGATAATATACTGATATCATAAGATGGCACATCTGCCAAGGAACAGAATGCAAATCAGTGCCAATTTTCATTTCCCAGAACTTGTGTGCTTCTCCAACTCTATGATCCATGTCTAAAGCTCGAATCAATTGACCATATGTTCCCATCGTCGTCCCTTGACCCTTGCTCAACATCCATTTAATTACCTTGGATAAGATATTAAAGCATCAGAGTAAATAATACTAAGGTCAACCGAATTTCTTTATGGCTCGTCTTTGTTTACAAAAATAATTACTAGAACAATAGTCGCAATTATCTTTGTTTAATCAAAACTTACAATTCATCCTAAAACTCACATGCAAAGTTGCAAACAGATAAGGCCAAAACCAAGACATGGCGAAAGAAAAAAAAAACTTCATCCACAAGAAATAAAGAAATTAAATCATCCAATTTCGGCATAGAGATTATACTATAGGAAACTACTGCAGGCAAAAAGAGTGTCTGGTCGTTAGGATGAGTAATACAAAATTGATAAACTTTGGCACAATATCATCTAACTAACCACTCAATAGAAGTATATGAAAAGAAAGGTACTTCAAATGCTTCCGTTCGTGCCTCCAAGAGCCCAGTTTTTTTACTATATTTTTCTAGTGACTTCAAATGCTTCTTCATGAAGGATGTTACTTACTTGATTCATCATCCTTAATCTAACTGAATATGTATTGCATGTTTGTTCCCTTACGCTACAATTCTATGTAATCCAATTCCATTTCATTTGTAAAAATCACTAATTTTTGCAACTATTTGTTAATCCTCTTCATTTGACAAGAACAATGCATGAGAGAAAAAAGAAAGAAAGCACACACACACACAAATGATACATACCTGAACAATCCTATGCCACTGTTGTTCCTTCTCAAGACTAATCAATATATTTCTCAATGCACCAATTGGAAAATTTTGCTCCCAAGCAACCCATGCATCAAGAGCACCATAAATAGCCTCCTTACTATCATCGATATCTCGAAGCTGCACCATTAGGGGGTTTAATTAAAACAACGGAAACTAAAACCTATTCACCAGTTTAAAGCATCAAAGTTCAAAATAATACTTATTCATTAACCATGATGACACACGTTATTATCATTAGGAAAATGCTTACTGTGGTGAGAAGAAACTTGGTTCTATCTTTTCTAGATACATTTTCCCCAATGTAATGCTTTGGTTTCTCTCTACCGCTGCCTTTTTGGTCGGAAGGAACAGATTCAGATTTGGTTTGCGAATAAGATGGTTGGGACAACATTTGACTGTAACATCGATTGACATCACTTATGTTCACTTCACTCAATCTAGTAACCTGGAAAACAAAAAGCAGCATGAGTTTTTCTTGAGGAAACATAGCTCCAACAACATTAATGGAAGAGCGAGAGAGAGAGAGAGAGAGAGAGAGAGAGAGAAATAGGAACTTACGAGATAACAAAATCGAGGTGCCCTCCACATGTTTGTTGAAAGTTCTTATCTAAAATCAACAAGTTTTGCCAGTTTCAATTGACTTTTGTTATAGAGCAGAGTTTTCTCAATTGATTTGGGTTATGCTATTTTTTTACGAATATACGGATTTATTAAAAGTTGTAACAAGCAACTGAAATTAAGTTGTGAAAATTTAAAAGTGGAGAGTGAAAGAGGAGAATTAAGAGAGGAGAGAAAATTGAGAAATGCAATATTTTATTAGTTTATGTGAGAGTGCACTTAATACCCTTATATAACATTTAATTGAAATATATTTTTGATCAAGTAAATAGGCAGAAAAAAAAAATACAGGATCTGTAATTGGTTATGCTAAAATAAATAATTGATTACACCTGACATATATTAATTTTAAAATCAATTTTATTTAGTGGTAATCAATCAGACAAATTAAATCTGATAACCCCTTTGAAAATTCTAATCTTTTACTACTGAAATGCATGACAACAATTGCAATTAACACCTCAAATTTTATAGGAAATTATCTTTTTACTCAAAAATGACATTAATTTTACTTTTCAAAAGACTAAATGGTTGCTAACCATAAACTAAAGAAACATAGCTGAGTAAAAAGTTTTTTCTTTAGTATAGGATTTTATTAGAATTGTTTAGTTTATCTCTTCGAATGAGATTAGTGTTAGGTCATCATGAGTTAGATTAAATATTTATCTGAAGATAATATGTATTATTTTAGATTTTCAACACAAGCATTAATTACAATATGATAAAGATATGTCATAATGGTTTTTTTTTTGAAAAGTCAAAAGGGGAAGGTATGACCATGAAGATCTCGACGAATTTGATTTGTTGAAAAATAGTACTAATTTTAAAAATAAATAAATTTCAGCGATGACTCTGTTCAATTTATTTCGCGAGCGTGTGATTGTGCTTCGCAAGCATGGTAGTTGAGGTATGACAGGTGTATTCACACAAAAAAATATAAATTTCGCACGGGTTGGAGTATTACTCAATCTCATAAAATTATTTTTCAAATGTCACAAAATTTGTTTAGTTGTGTATTTTATAGAAAAATTTATTTTCAAATTCTTATTCGTATAATTTAAAAATATTGATAGAGATTTAAGTTATTGTAATTCTATTTTAATACAATACTTTTAAATACTGAGATTTGATAGATAAGATAAAGTAAAATACAACATGAAATGATTCAACGTGACAATGACCAGGAAGGACGTGTTAGGGCTTGAGGAGTCTAAGAATGGAAATGGTGTAAACCAAATGGAGGAAGATGATCACTCATATGAAGGAAGTCTTGCAAAAGAGGTTATATCATACAAGAATGTGGTTACAAGAGAAATGTCATTTAACAAGGAAGATGAGTCAAAGGATTGCGAGGGGAGTAATGAGGCTGTAAATGAAAATGGTGGCCTATGGATAGAGGAGACTAAGGTTGGAGAGTATGAAAATAAGGTGTAACAACTATGGGCTAGAAGAGGAGCTCTAAATTGAGTGGATTTAGGGAAATAATATTATTTTGTCATTTTTACGAGTGAGAAATTCCAATGTGTAGCTCTAATGGAGGAACTATGCCTCATATATGACCACTACCTTTTTGTTAGAGAATGGAGCGCAAACTTGTGTTCATCAAGTGATGCCATTGAATAAGTAGTAGTATGGGTGAGGATCTCTGGTTTACCCCATTTAATACTATGATGCAATAATGTTGTCTTTCATTAGCAATCATATTGGAGCAACAATCAAGGTATATATAAATACACTAACGAGGGAAAGATGAAAGTATGCTAGACTATGTGTTGAAGTGGGCCTGACTAAATCATTTCTAGCAATGTTTTCCATCAAAGGTAAACACTATAAGTTTGAATGTTAAACTTTGCATCTCCTTTTCCCCAACTGTGTAAGATTCAGGCACTACAAAAAAGGATGCACAACCAAGAAAGACTCAATGGGTGGAATACATGTAGTTGAATCCGAAGAATAAGAAGCAAAGAACTCGGCAAGAAGAAATGAGGAATTGAATATTGTAGGGTCTTGGATGGTGGTGAAAAAGCCAAGGAGACAATAAGAGATCAGAGAAATGGTGACATTTGATGCTCAAGCCAGTACACCGATAGGAATTAATGTCATTACTGGCAAGAAGAAAATCAGGGGATCGAGATTTATTAATCTTAATGATGAGATACCCGAATTTAAATTGAGGAGTAATGGTCTAACAGAAAAGGAAACAATTGATCATGAAATAATTGGGACAATCCTTGGAAATGAATAAAGTGGAATCAATTTGAATGGTCCAATAAAGTGCCAACACGTGAAGAAAAGTGAGAAGACCAAAAGAATAAAAAAGATGGCGCCTAATAAAAGCATGCAAGTGGTGGTAGAAGGAATAACAAAAGAGAAAAAGAAATTGGATCTATATGGTAAAAACAAGGAGGCAAGTGGATGAATAATAGAGGAAAAAGGCTTGGCAATTTTGTGAGTAGGATTAATCTACATTGTCTGACAAAAGAAAATAAAATGGTCCACAAAAATATGTTTGATGACCTCGCGGTGTCCGAGGAGGTCCGGTCTAAGTTGGTGGCCGACCAGAAGGAATACCAGAAACAGGATAAGCTCCACCGGGAGTGTATTGGGGAGCTGGAGAAAGCCTTGAAGGAAAGAGGGGACAAGCTAAAATGGGTCAGAGGCCGCGTTACCGAGCTCGAGGATCTGGTCACCCCGGCCGAGGAGGAGTCCGAAAAGGAGTGATCGGTGGTGTCTCGATGGGAGCTCGTGGACAGGGTTCGTCAGCTAGAGGAGGATTGCTTGGGATCCGTCGAGGTGGGCTTCAAATATGATGTCAACCAACTCAGGCTCCTCAACCCTGATCTGGTGATCGACGAGGTTGGTCCCTTTCATCAGATCCAGGAAGGTTGGATCATTGCGCCCTATGGTTTGGACGACGAGGAGGAAAACCAGCCTGCCCGAGAGGAGGAGGATCACTTAGAGTATGGATGGAGGCCTGCGTGCCCCTTATTTTCAGTTCGGCCTGCGTGCCAAGTAGCTTTTGGCATGCGTTCCATTTTTTCATAAGTCTTCACTTTGTTCGGCCCGAGGGCCTTTTATTGTAACGTTTCGACTGATGGGCTTGTGCTCGTTTTATTTATTTTTTTGTTTTTCCTTCTGAGTTTGTATGCACGCTCGGTTATTCATGTTTGTGTGATTTATGCTTCAGTTTGCTTTGTATGCTTGCTCGCATATTTGTTATGTTTGTTTTGTATATTTACTATGTGGAAGTGGTAGCTCGACAGTTGATATGCCGGATGTAACGCCCATTTTTAATTATTAGTTTTTCTCGTATTATTTGTTTTTCGGTGCATTTTGTAAGGAATTGTTTGAGAAAATTAAGTTCCATAATATTAGAAAAATATGATTAATAATAATAATAATATGATGATGATGATTAATAGTGTTGATACTATTATTATTAATATTATTGTTATTGTTATTATATTTAAAATATTATTGGGATTAATTTTGAAATTAAAGAATATGAGGAAAAGAGAAATAAGAGTTAGTTTGGGGTAGATTGGGAATTTTAGAAAGAAGGGTATTTAGAAAGAAGGGGAAAGACGTGTTTTGGAAAGAAAAAGAGAAAGAAGAGCGTGAAAAGAAGAAGAAGAAGAAGAAGAAGAAGAAGAAGAATTGGCAAGCAAGCTTGAATCGATTGGAAGAAGAAGTTAGGGATTACGATTGGAGCAAGGATTTCTTCATCTGATCAAGTATTCGAGGTAAGGGGGAGAATTAGAACAAAATGGTAGTTACATGAATGTTTGGGTAGTGGGGTTTTCCCTAACCTCGTAGACTTGATAATCTCGATTGTTGATGTTGATAATATGAATGTTGAATTGATTCTGGTGTGGTAATTCCTTTGCATGTGTTATTGTTGAATTGTTGGATGAATTGGGGGTTTCTGAGCAAACTGCCATTGTTTGCCGGAACTGAGCAATCTGCAGAACTTGAGTTTAATCGGGTAGAAATTAGGATAGTTGGTGTAGCCTTGTTGGTTATTGTTGTACTGGTATAGTGTAGGAACTCGTTGGATTTAATCGGGTGATATCGGAGTGTGGAGCTGATTCTGAATAGTGGGATTTTTGAGGAATCGCAGACCTTCGCGAGGCCATCGCTGAGCGAGGGAGGTAGCGAGCCTTCGCTAGGCCATCGCTGAGCGAGGGAGGTCGCGAACGCAAACAGGATATTTTGTTTGGCTTTGCTGGGCAGCTCGCTGAGCGAGCTTGCAGTGATCGTTTGCTGGTGCTTCGCTGGGCGATGGGGCCAGCGAGCATGACAGTATTTTTGGCATTTTGCGATGTGTTGTTTTGTTCTCGTGTAGTGTTGGACCCTAGCTGGTCGTATTTAAATTATACGATTAGGGATGGTTAGTGAGAGTATATGTGCGGAGTGGTATGTGAATGCCTTAATGCTCATTAATGTGAATGAATGAATCAACGTATGTGACTATACATGATTGTGGTGAGATGTGATTTGTATGCATATGTTTTATGCTGAGTTGTGACCGAGGGGTCGTGTGCACCGTGAGTGCTGATATTTATTGTGTGCTTGTGTTGTGCTGTGTGCATTAGGGTCTTGCATAAGCATAATGACAGGGTGAATCATGGCTCATATGGAGTGTAGGTGATTCACTCGCGTGCTCCTTTGTGGAGGGTTGATGGCCAGGTGCCCATCAGTGGTAGGGATAGATCGTTGCTCAGAGGGAGTGTATGCGATCTATCCTGAGTATGATTGGTTGTGCTCCTTTGTGGAGGGTTGATGGTCAGGTACCCATCGGTGAATTGCACGTACTCCGGTGGGAGAGGGGGTGGTAGGGATAGATCATTGCTCGGGGGAGCGTATGTGATTTATCCTGAGATTGACCAGTGTGCTCCTGTGTGAAGGGTTGATGGCCCAGTGCCCATCGGTGATGTTGAGTCGGTACCGCATTTCATATGTCGAGTTGC